CTGTGCGCCTCTGTTCATTTTTCTACGTGCCACAGCACTAGCAACAACAAAAATAACAACAACAGTATTGATTGGAACATGCCGTAAATGCAGAAAAAAGGATGGAAAATAAAATACAGAAAAAAAGAAACAGGAGCAACTAGAACGTCATGACGGAAATCAAATGTAAGCGCAGAAAGTGAAACGCCACAGCCATAGGCAAGATGACGACGTGGCGTATACGTAATGTGCCTTTTAAAATCGAAATTCTACCCAGCATACCAACAGACGAGAGCTTGAGCTTAAAAACTATGGCAAAAATATGCAACTTTATATCTAAATATATATTTATATATATTCTCAAAAGTTATAGTGCAGCTATAGGCAAGACATGGCGTATACGTAATGTGCCTTTTTAAAACGAAATTCTACCAAGGTTGACAACAGGCTAGAACTTGAGCTTAAAAGCTATGGCAAATATATGCAACACTATATCATCATTAGCATATATTCTTAAAATTAATACCTAGTTTTAGATCAAGAACTTAAGTAACTTTGCTTGAAAAGAACAGATTTTTCACACTTACCCATTAATTTTCCCTCATCGGGCTGATAAGTATCCTTTCTTTATACATAGTATAGTATATTAGGATTGTGTTAGGAAGATAAGAGGCAGAACGAAGCATCTCTGACCTCATAAAATGTACGAGCACAAGTATTTAGATAAATCCATCTCGTTATGTTCATCCGTCTGTCTGTATGAACGCCTGGTTCAGGGAAACAGCTGATCTCACTTTGACCCAACTTGGTATGTAGACTCTCCTCATCTCTAGGCAGCACGAGTTTATTTTATTTTTATTTTACATAAACTCAGCTTTGCAGACACTACTTATATGTGTACCTTTATTTAAATCGGTTTGTGCCAGATTCAGGTTTCAGCCAGACACATCATGACAGATCATTATTTTGGGGAAATTGCATTCACAATCAGAAATCAGCAGCGATTTTGAGAGAGAAAAGCGTGGAAATCCAATATGATTTCATAACATTTTCTGGCCTTTGTTTTTTCTTTGTTCGCCTTTGCGGGAAAGCCGTGTAGCAGCAAGGCATGAAGCATTGCCACCCCCATCCAAGTCGTCGTATCCCCTTCAGGGACAATTGGCAGTTGCAGTTTACGAATGCATGGCCTGCACAGATAGTGTCGATGCGACGTGGTCCTTCGATGTGCCTGCCAACCGTGTCCATAGCCATTTCATACGCCATCTTATGACTTGTACTTGGCTGGCCCTTGAAATGTGGCACATGTGGCACGTAGCCCCACAGCTCTTGTCCCAGGGCCTGTGAAGATGTGCAGCCAATTGTGTGCGAGGAGCTTAATGCCACGGGAATTGTTCCAACTAGTTTTCCAAGTCATCATCAATTGATTGCATCTATACTCGTTGCTTTGCAATTTTATCGAGTTGCCAAGCTCAGCGGTTATAGAAAATACAATGAGAAGTTGTGCCAACGTGAAAAGCATGAAGATTGGATTTTGCCTACGCTGCCATGGAAGGGTATGCAATCAAGTAGGGGAAGCTCATTTATAACCTCCGACGAAGTAACTAAGTAATGTGGCTAGCACTGGACTAGTGCATAGAGAAGTCCTTGGATCAGCTCGAAATCCTTGAGAAGCCAACATAATCTGAAGACACTCGACTTCACTGCAAAAGCAGCAATTCCAATGCCAGATGTAGCGATCCTAAAAGCGAAAGGCGAGACGGACGTTATGTGTATAATTAATAATAATACGAAATTTTAATAAAATCCGTTGACTATATCTCAAAGCAGTCATAAGAACAAGAATAATTATATATACTTTAATCTGAAGTTTCATCAAAATCGGTAAACTATATCGTATAGCTGTTATGGAAATTATGGCTTAGGTTACAGTTTAGGGATGTAAAAAAAAACATCGATATATCGAGCATTGGCGATGTTTTTAACACGACTCATCGTCAATCCATCGATCATCATATTTTTTTGGCCTGTCAAATTTCTTTGTTGGCAAATTTTGTTTCTTTCTTACCAATTATAGGGGAAGGTAAAGCTTCAAGGCAAGAGAAAGCGTCAGGATCTGCTTTAGTCCCGACTTCCGGTGCAGCTAGGGATACCCAAAACATTTAACATTAGTGCAGTCTCCAATAGGCTGGAAGCCAGCTTGAAACTAAAATAAACGGAGCTCCTGCCGCTGAAGCATCTCAGTTCATTACCAGATTCAGGCATTATAAAATAATGTTGAAATGAATGAAATGTGACTACGAAGAAGAGCAGGAGTGCGTTTTTCTTTTCCCAACAAGTACGATCATGGCTAAGGTTTCGGCTTATGAGCAGTGCTTGGCTCAACAAAGTAAATTAACCACAAATTGGTCCACTTCCGCAAGACAAGCAGCGCTTCCGCCGGGTAATACGGAAGTGTTCACACGGGACCACTTTATCGTGTCGATTTATATAAACAATTCAAGTTTAGCCCCTGTTGCGAAAAAGGAATCTAGAACAAAAGACACTCTTGTGAAATCTTTGCTTACCATTATGGTTTTCAATCCGCGTGATTAGTCGAACAAAACGTTTTGAGAATAAAATATTTGTGCCGCACTAGAAGAGCTCCAATGTATTGTGTTCTAATTTTCTTAGGTTCATTCAAATAATAAATAATATTCATTATAGCAGCAGTCCTTACAGAACAAAGCTGGTATTCCGACTTGGCTTTTTATTTATATAAAATTATAAAAATATCCGACTGGGGGATTCACAGCAGAGAATAGTCAGAGACGTTATTTGATCTAACAAAAAAGAAACAAAAATGAAGACATAGCAATAAAAAATAATAAACAAGCAGAATTAAACTAAAATAATAATAAATTAAAATACTTACATATGAAGAACACTTTCCTGTAATCGAGAGCTATCGAACACTGAAGAATGGGAGATTTGAAACCATTCAGCATGGCATTACAATCAAAAACTTGATTACACTTCCATAAAAAGCGTCTGCATGCAAAAAAAGTCATTCCACGACCAGCATAAGAGTAGTGAAAAGGACAACCATTCGATGGTTGCTTAATGAGAACACTCTCCGATTATAATTCATAAATATTTATTGTATTTTTAATGAAATAATAATTTAGTATTTATGCAGTTGTTGTTGTTGTTTTTGTTGTTATTTGTTAATTCATTTCGTTTGTTTGCAAAGTAAGCTGCGCTTCTTTTCAATGGCCTTGAATTCGATTTATCATTCCTTAATGCATTTTAATGTGGAGTGTATACTCGTATAGTTTAAAATGTATTGTTATGGCTTTTGTTGTTGGTTTCATTTATTAGTTAATAATAATTATGACTACCATGCTCGGGGGCATTTGTAGGGCTGCACAGTTGCTTAGAAATACATAAGTCGTGGTATAATTTACATAAAATATTTATTACCTTTGCTGTTTATTCGTTTTAGCTTTGTTTGTTTGTTTGCTTAATAAATTTATGCTTGTTCTTTAATTAATGTCAATAAATAAATAGTAAGTAGTATACAATTAGTGTTGAAGTTGTTAGTTAGCAGTAGTTTGTATTTATGCATGTATGTATATATATATATATAAATATGTGTATATATATTTATATATAATTCAATAAATTTAATTTGGTATGTGTTTGCAAAAAAAAAAATAAAGAATGATCGCTTTCAAATTATACAAAACTATACACTTATGTAGCATGTTTTAGTGTATGTGTGTATTATATTTATAAATATTAACCTGCACAATATTAGCACTTTAGCGTCAACATAAAACATTGTACATACATATATATATATATATAAATATTTATATATATATATATATAAATTTGTATCTGTATGTATGTATGCGGCTATGTGTGTTTGTTTTCTTCTCTTGTCCCATCTCTTTTCGTTTCGTTTCGCTTTGAAATGTATGCAAAAATAAGCTCTCTTTCTTGTTATATATTGTATTTTAAGTACACAAGTATTTTTATTTGAAATACATAGATAGCTTAACATAAATGTTCTTGTTGTTGTTGGGCTGCTCAATTTATTGTTCCTTGTATATTTTGTTTTGTTGTTGTTGCTGCTGCTGCTGCATAGATCAAAAGTGCTTTATTAGATTTGATTTGTTTTCGTTTTCTTTTTCTTTTATTTTGTTTTGGTTTAAATGCATTTCGTTTTGTTTTGCTAACTAGGCCTTTCGCTTTTTTGTTTTTAGTTTAGTTGTTAAATTTGCTTTCAAAAATGTTTGTAATTTTCGCAATGTTTTCTGCTAGCTTTAGAAATTTGATTTTTGAACAGCAAAAAGAAAATCAAAGTTACAATTATATTTATAAACAAATTATATATATGTATATATATATATTTACACAAAGATAACAAACAATAAAGGACTCTATTATATCGTAGTTACATTTATAATATTCCATTTGACGTTAGTTTAACGAAATCTCTTCATCTTGAAAATGAGTTTTTGGCATAATTGAAATTATAAATGTAGATAATGAAATTAGTTTAAAATATATTATATATATATATGTTAATTAATTATCATCGTTAATTGCGGTTGCACTTGCACTTTCAACTATATGTTTAATGCATTTTCAATAAATACTTATTATTGCCTTAACATTTGCTATTGCCACTCTCTCTCTCTCTATCGCTACTTCCATCTCTCTCTCTCTCGCTCGCTCTCTGTCTCATTTCGTAAACACTTGGATTGGCTCGTAAATTAAAAAATGGCACAAAAATTAGTAAAAACAATTTACAATTTCTCTTTAAGGATTCAATTTAAGTGACACACAATGCGAAATTTCTTTGCACACACAAGTAGTCATAAAAAAATATTCAGTCTTTTTTTTTTTATATAAAAACAAAATTAAGATATAATCGTAAACGTGTATGCGTTTTTTTTTTTTGTTTTTCCTTCAATTACAAATTTTTGCGTGAGCTTCGATTTAATTTGTTTATTTATATGTATATTTAATGAGTAGTTTGTTGTTGTCAATCAATAATTTCAACTTTTTAGTTGCAGTTGCGTTGCAGTTGTTATTTTTGTTTGTCTTTTTCTATTTGTAAATAGTTGAACAAATACTTATCAAAATGGCTTGCACATACGTATGTTGAAGTGTGTGTTGTGTGTGTGTGTTATTTTTGAGTTAGTTTTTCTGTTTGTTTAATGTTTATGTGAACATTAGTTTTTATATATAAATTGGCGTCTCTTGGCCGGTGAGCAAACGAAACATGGATGTGGGCATCGTCTTCATAAGAATCTGTAAAACAAAGTAAACATTTTATTAAAAAAATTGTTTATATAAAAAGCAAGTCGTAGGATTTTAATTACTTTGACCAAATTATTTTCTCTTTCCTGGGCAACAAAAATATCTATACATTTTTTCTATATTTTATTATATGTATGTATTTCTATATTTTCCTGGCATTTACGTACCTCTCCCACAGATGACGACAACAGCTTGACGATGGTGTCGTGAGGCACAGCCACCACGCTCTGATTGTTAATCTCAATGATCCGATGGCCCACACGTACCCCTCCGCGCTCGGCGATGCCGCCACGCAGCAGACTGCAAATCTGTTAAAATAAAGATAACATTAGAATATAGTGCAATCTGATTAATCTTTCCCGAAATACAATTTTGCTCTTCATTTAAAAAACTGACAAATATATGAAAAGTGACCTCGAAACGCATTTAATTTACAATTATATAAACAATTTAAGAAACCTCCTGATAAGCATTGATTTGGTCTAAAATGTTACTCTTATCTTTTGGATCTGATGAACGTTAAATTTATCAACAGATCCAATTGTTGAAAATGTAGCCCTTTTTTATTTTATTTTTCTTTTTGTTAAAATCGTATCTGTTTTCGCAAACTTTCTCACAGACTTATATTAAATGATTTTGATAAATTACAGGAAATTCTTATTGGCCGTTTTTTGTAAACCGGAATAGCTTGTATTTCGAATCCGAATAATGTAATCGAGTCGGTAACGAGAAGAGGCCTCTATCTATATTAATATATTATTGTATTGTAGATTGCAAAAATGTAGCTAGATTGGAGAGGACTGAGAACCTGAGGAAGGATAAGAATAGGATAAAACACACTAAGCGTATGAATAAGTTGAAAATGGTTCTTCCCCAAAAAACATAGAAACATCGATGTCTGTCCAGCACTAGTATATGATATGAAAAACTATGGATTATCAATTCTACTATAGTTTGAAGGCATATCTATCAAATAGTTTTTCGCAAAGTAAGTTTATCGAAATAAAGCCAAAACAGCACCAGAGCTGTATTTCCAAGTATAGTAAGAAACAAGAGGATCTGAAGACTATAATTTCATTGGTAGTGTCATTATTTGTAAAGTCACTTACCACACCATTCTGCACACTGAATCCGAGCTGAAAGAGTGCTTTGGGTCTCAGAATTTTGACCTCCACCACCGGTGGACAGGGCACGACGGTAAACTTGACGGCAGTTTGATTTTTGGCATTGCGTATGTAGCTCTGACACGTGGAGAGTGGTAGACCGACGAGGCTCATGCCATTAATGGCTATCAGTTGATCGCCAATATTGAGCTGACCACAACGAGCCGCCGCACCACCGGACATAAGATTGGCAATAACCACTGTGGGCAGCATAGAGCCCCAGCCGCTCTCCACAATGACTACGCCCAGTATTTCGCCCTTGGCCTTGGGCACAACGACCTCCTTTTGGAGCTCTTTTTTAGCAAAGATCTCCAGCTCATCGCCAAATATTTCCTGACTGTTCAGCACCTCCTGATAGTCCATTTCCTTGGCCAGATTCTCGTTCTCAATGCCATTCGCTTTCAGAAACTCCATGTAGGCCACCTGGAAGGCCTGTCCAATCGATTGCGCTATAAACTGCGCCTCATCGCTCTCAAACACATGGCATATCATTTTGGGCGTCCGATTGTGCTTTGACGATCCATTCTCCTTATTGCACTCCTTGCTGCCGCCATTTATTTCACTGTCCACCGATTCTCCGGTCATGGTGTCGACGCCTGCCCCGCTGCTGGCGCTCTGCGGCACAAAGCGACGACGGGCCATCAGCACTACGAGATCCCCGATATCCGCTATGTAGGATATGGTACGCAGCGCATGGTCCATCATGATCTCCTTCAGATCCGTATTAAGCACCATGATTTTTTCGGTTGATATGAACAGATCCACCTCTGTCGAAGGCTGGCTTTCGCCCTCGGGTGCCTATTGAAACAACAAAATTATAAGTAATCTGGGATGGAACGCTCGTCTTGACATGGATAAAATTTTGGAGTGGCTGCCTAGCTACTTACCAAAGCCTAAAGGTTATGGGCAGCATGGGAGTTAGGACGAAATAAAAAGCGATTTGCATTATAGACAGACATATAGAGTGTTGCATTAAATAGAAAGCCTGGTATGCGCTACTACGGAGCTTGGATGTTGAAAATAAATCTACTCTAAACATAAATAATAGCTACGCACCTTAATCCGAGAGACGGCCTCCTCGGCCTGCATCATGCGCGTCGATTTCGTTGGCTGACCCTCACATACCAGTTGAGTGGATCCCAAATAGCGGGCACGAAAGAGCACACCCTCGATGAGCACTTTTGGTTCCAAGAGACCTGCGAAGAATTCCGCACATTAATTGGATGGCAGTGGTAGTTTGAAAAGAAGCTCCCAGAAAGAAAGTTTTAGATAAGCAATAGGTGTACTAATAATGCTAGGAGTCTGTGTATTTAAAGAGGGAGGTAAGAGCGCATTCACTTACATGGCAGGACACCACACCAAATACAAAAGAAAACACCACACATAAATTGGAATGCAGCGTATTAAAAGAATACATGAATGTAGAAACGTTGTGAAACAAGTATAAAGAAAGCTAGCTTCGATTAACCGAAACTTGCAATACTCTTTGAAAAGCTTAATCCCAGCTAATTGGCAATTACAGACAACTATTTTTACTTTAAACTTCTCCGATGATTAAAATCTGGCAACGGTCCGCAAAAAATAAAAGATGAAGAATTGTATGCATATTTTGTAAAACGAAAAGGGTGATTGTTTGATTTTGGGGCTAAAACTGATTCAACTCGTTGGCTTTAGCTGATGAGAAATTAAACGACTTTTAATCATTGATGGCTTAAGCAAATTTTTCTAACCCATTTCTTTGTTTAAAAATTATTTAGTTATCATCTGAAAAAGATATAAAAGCATTTAATTCATTTCTTTTTCGTTTAACCTGGCTTAAACTTTACAAAATATAGTATTTTAAGCAGCATTATGGATGAATAATAACAATCCTATTATAAAATACTGAATAAAAGAATCTTCATTTAAAACACGATCTACTCATAAGCATAGACTAAAAACAATATCTATAAATACCATCTACATATTGCTAAGTCTTTAACTTTTTTGTATGATCTTAAGCTACTGTGAAATGATATTATTTTCTAATACTTATAAATTGTTAAGACTTTTGCTGATTGACGTTACAATATTAAAAAAAAAAAATTGTAAAAACAAACTTTAAGCAGAGCTGTTTTAAAAATCTAGCCTTTACTGAGCCCCATGATCGACTGATCGATATAAAGTCACACATACAGACGACGATTTCGGATAATTGTAGCCTTAGAAGGATTCTACAGTGATGTTATTACTTTTTCAAAGAGCATTTAAACACGGCACAGATTAACGACGATTGAACAATATAAGACGTTTGATGGCTCGCAACTCACCCTCCTTATTGCGTGACTTGGCTTTCTTGTCACTGAGACTTGAATCCTTGAGTGATTTGATGGAACCACTGGGACTCTTGGCGTACTGTAGCTTTTCGGGCGAGGTCAACGACACATCCGCAGTACCCACAATCTGGCATATATCTGGCGAATTTGGCGTTAATGAGGTGCCGATACCTTGCCGTATCGTGGCCGTCGAGTAACTCTGCGGCTTCGGGTTGCTGTTGTTGTCGCTGTTGTTGCCGCTGCCGCTACCGCTACCATTGCTGTCGGCCAGACCGTTGGCATTGTTATCGGCGGCCAGCGCCGACGACTGAAAAAGGGAGGGAAGTAAAGTCAATTGAATGTCTGGCATAGAAAAGGTTTTTAGCTTACCTGTTCGCAGAACAAATCCTGTTCATCGTGTCGCTGTTGGCCCAGCAAACGATCTGTTTCCAGATCTGTGTCCGCCTCTTCTTCATCAAGGCGCGACACAGCTGACGTGACAGCGGTTGCTGCTCGCGGCACCCAAACGGGCGAATCGGGATCGGCAGGCAGCACCTCATCGCAGAACTTGAGCTTCTCCGGCTGCGTTTTGGCGCGCTGCAATGCCGATCGTATCTCTTTCATGGCCTCCTGTATCTCGACTGTTTCGGCAGTGCGCTGCTGCTGCTGCTGCGTTGCTATTGCCGGCTGGCCACTGACGGCTGGACGGTGTGGCGCAGGTGCGGGCGGTGGTGGCGGTGATGGTTTGCTAGCAGTGGCGGCTGCAGCAGCGGCGGCGGCATAAACTGCGCCATAGTGCGAGGCTGAGGGACTGCTCGACAGCTCTATCGTTGTTGGCTGCTGCTGTGGCTGTGGCGAAGACGCAGATGTGGGCGGCGGCGGTGGTGGTGGCGTCGTTGAAACGACAACACTGGCTACAAAATCACTTATCAGCGCAACGCCCACTGGGGTGATATGCTGTTCCACAGCACTGTTTAAGCTGGCATTGTAATCATTTTCGCTGCGCGTTGCCAGCTGCTCGCTGCTGCTGTTGCCATTGTGCTCCATCACCGGCGGTTGCTGCGGTTGCAGTTTGTCGCAAACCACCGACACATTGTTCTCCGTGTCCGAGGCATGTCCGCTGCTTAGGCCATCCTCAAGCACAGGCATGCTTGTGTACAATTTTCCGTAGTCTGTGGTGCAGTTAATGTCATTCGATAAACTGTCCAGATCCCCGCAGTTCGAGTCGTAGTCCGTTGTCTCTGGTGAGAGCGTGAAGTTCCGGGAATGACGACGCAAATTGGCCTCCAGTTCTGTGTCTGCCAGGTCGCCACTGCTGCGACTATTCGAGTCGATATACAGCTCGATGTCGTTGTGCTCGTGATAGGCATTATTCTCACTGCTTCCGCCGCCACCGCCACCAATTCCTGGTTGTGATGGACCCTCTGTCGTTGTTCCCGACTGTTTCTTTGGCGAACGATGAACCATGTAGAGCTCGTCTTTGGGTATTCTAGCCAGTCGTTGTCCAATATAGGCCTGCTCGATATGTTTGTTTTCATCGCAGACACGCGTCGCCTCGAAATCCTGCTGCGTATCCTGTTGGGATATAAAGGATGTGATAAGATGCAGAAAAACAACACTTCGTTAAACGGCCTCTGTCTTACCAAGCTAGCCACATCGTCACCGCTTTCCGTCGTGTAGTCTGTAAAACGCTTTTCATCATCGGGATTCGCTTTGAAGAACTCCTCCAGCACCTTGCGCGTCTCTGAGAACTCATACAGATAATCGAAAGTGGGCGTTTTGGAAGCTGTAGCGGACCCCGCATCCTCGTGATCAATCAGATCGATCAGATTACCGACAGACGATTTGTTGTGATCAACCATATTCGCGCTTGTGTTGTTATTGTTATTGGAACCACGCTGTTTGTTGGATACCGAGCCCGTGGTTGGCGAGACACGTTGAGGAAAACCAGGCGGACGTTTTGGGAAACCCTTCAATTGCTGTTGCTGCTGATTGCCAAAGCGTCGGGGAGATCCTTCGTACTCAGCAATGGGCAGCTGACCAATCATTTTGGTCACCTTCAGCACATCCTCATTACTTTCCGTGCCAACAATGCTGCTATCGACGCGCGCTGCGGACTTATTCATCCAGTTGGTGTCGATATCGTCGAAGACAACAATTTCGCCATCGCGCAGGCACTGCCCGTCCCCTTTCCCAACATCTGTGGGCGAGCCGGGACTAGCCAGACCCTGTTTATAAATAAAAGGGAAATAGAAAGCGATTTTATTTATCAAAGCTATACAGTTTAGACGATATGTTGCAGATCGGTTGGCTTAAACCCACACATATAGTAGACACCGCACGAATCTTCCAGCCTTGCATTATTTAAATCTATTAGCAGTTTTCGACAAGAGAAATTTCATAAATTGTGATAAAACATTCTTTAAAATAAATTAAGCTAAGGCCAGACAGGCAAATAATTTGCACGCAAATGTTCTTGATTGTAGAAACATTATATTCACGACTGCTGTTAAATTAAGTTGTTCCTGATTTTTGTACTTTCCGAGATTTGTGCGCTCATGCAGACGTCTATATCGACTCATCGTGTGATTGTGATCAAGAATATTTTACGAGGTCTGTCTCTAATCATTCTGCCACATAAAGGCGCACTAGCCTAAAATATCCTTTTACCTTTTGGGTATAGGTGACCTCCACTTACTAGAATTTCTACAAGATTTGAAAATATTTTCGTACTTTTGTATTACTCAAAACCTCCCTAAATAATAAGATACTCTAGAATGTTACAAAGAAAAGTTATTCTATTAGGCGTTATTTTTGCAGCGATTTTGGCATCTAAGTAAAATAATGTGACTGTTTGTAAAATTTCAAATCTCCAGCAGCAATGAAAAGCGCTTCTTTTCTCTCTTACCTGTGGCAACATCTCGTGTGGCTCGAATTGACTGCCTGGACTGCGACCGACACGTATCTGATGATGAGGATGATGCGGCCTTTGGTAATAGCCGGTAGTCGGCTGGCCTGGTCCATAGCTGGCGGCCAAAAACGATGCTGGCTGATGATGGTGATGATGGAGTGGGGCATACGGCAGCTCTGTATTCAGATCGGGCGAGTTAAGCACCGTACTGGCGGGCGTTACATTCGGACTGCGTGTTCGCATCTCCCAGACGTAACGCTCCTGCGGCTCCTGTTTGCTTAAATTCATGTGCAGATCCGGCTTGGCGTCCATGGAGTCGTTGCTACTGTCGCTACATGAGTTCATTACGTTCCCCCTTTTTCCGTCTCACTGAGTCGGTGTGTCTGAGCGTGTGTGTGTGTGCCGATACTATTCTTCAGCCTGCAACTGCCTCCGGGGCAGGGGATCGGGACTGGTGGTGCCTACTATGGAGCAAGCCGTTTTGCAACGCCGCGACCTGTGGTTACTTCAACTGCTGCAGCCGTTGTGGCTGCTGACATGCTTTGGTTTGCTGCTTCTGCTGCCGCTGCTGCTGTTTCTACTTTCTGTGGTCTGTGGAGATGAAGCAGAGGCAGAGGGGGAAAGGACAGGGGTTAGACGGAGACAAGACTCTTGAATGGCGCACCTTTTGTCTTACACATTGATTCAATGCTTGTTGATGACCTAACTGGATGAATGAATCACTTCAACTGCATGACTGCAACAAACAAAAGCATCAACCAAACAACAACGACAGAACAACGTTGAAGTCTTGAAGTTGAACAGACATAAAAAAATCAATGATCCAAGTGCTGTGCGCCAATTAACCCAATAACAGGCAGCAAGCAGCATCCACATCTGTATATATAAATATATCTATTTACATATTTGTGTGTGTGCGCGTGTGTGTGTGTGTGTGTGAGTGCACGTAAACTTGGCCTCTAAAAATTTTCGCGCAGGCAAAAACACAAACACAAATGCATTTTACAACAATGATGTGTGGCCAGGAAGCTGGGGCAACAACCACCAGCCAGTCCCCTTCACACACACCCACACACACACGTGAGTGGTTAGTTGTCAGAGGGGGTGGGGGTGGGCAGCCGGCTTGTCGCCCATTTTAATGTTGTGCCTTGTTTTGCTGGTTGTTGTTGTTGTTACACACACACATACTTCGTCAGAAACGATGCATTTCAGTTTTTGCCCTTTTGATGACATCAAATTAATTTTGATATAATTTTGATTCACATATGCATGCACACACACGCACACATCTCTGTATTTTGTCTATGCTCGTGTGTGGCTGTGTGTGTGCGCGTGTGTATCGCCATAGCATTGTTAAAAATCAATAGATTTTCTGGTTTTTGGGTGGACGTTGCTGTCTTTGTCATATTACCTGCCCGCCAGGCTAAAGGCAATAACAGCAGCGCAGCAGCAGCAGCAACAACAACAACACAGGCAGGCATCGTACGTTGTAGTTGCTGTTAAATGGGGTGGTAGGAGATAGGCAACGTGCGTCGCACAAGCGTTCAGGATTTTTACACAATGTGCGGCAACAACAATAATAACAGTAACAACACCTGCTACATTTCCTTTACAGAACGCTTCATTCGTTCTTTTAGTTTCTTTTTGCACAGGACTTTACACACGCACACACACACTCTCATACACATATATACACATGTATATGCACAATGCTTTTGCAAGTTTACCATTAAATTCATTTGTTGATCGCGCACTTTTCTAGCTATGTATTAAATTCACTTCATTGCACATTGATTTCGCACTCATACACATTTAAATTTTTAATTAAATGGGCTGCGAAAAACCTTTTGGCGAAAAGCCGTCACTTTTTTTGGCTGCCCTCGCTTCTGTTTATTAGGCTAGTGGATGTTATCGATACCTGCATCGATATGTGGTGGTTGGGCACATCGATAGGTGTGCGCGCGTTTATGCTGCCAGTTGCTTGAAATGTTGTTTCGCGGTGGCAACGCCATGCATGCGAGCAGAGCGCCAATGTCGTTATCTCTTTGGCCAGTTGGTCGACGCGCTTTATAACGTACAAGCCGTTTTATGGAGAGCAGCGCTAACAATTATTTACTGTTTTTGTGTTATTTGTTGTAAGACGCGCGCGCGCGCGTTGTAAATATTGTTGGCGTTGTGAGGAAGAATAAAATGTATTAAATTGTGCATAAATGGAATAGCGGGCAAATGTGACTTAATAAAGAAGTATGTAAAATCTGCAGGACCTTCACACACACACGCACACTAACGCCCACGCATATACATACATATGTAGCTCTTTTAGGCCGCTTTTAAATACATACACACATACATATGTATGTACATATGTGTGTGCATAGTTGTTGTTTAATTACAAAGAAATGTTACTGAGAAAGAGTTACTGCTGCGGCTAACTGATGTTTTGACTGTTGGTATCCAAGGGATACACATGCCATTGCAGCAGCCGTGGACATCGGAGCAAGGCACAGCACAGCAGGGTGTGTTTTGTATTTGTCCCTGTATGGGTGTGTGCGTGCGTCTCTATGTGTGTGTGTGTGGATGAACCTGTGCCGATGCAGCTCGCGCCTCTGTGGCTAAAAATCAATAAAGCCGACAACAACAACCAACACAAAGGAAGTCATCGTAGTAAAAAGCGCGCGTGCGAAAGTCAACAACCATAAAAAATGCGCCAGTGTCATTGTTGTTGTTGTTGTGCATAAGAGTCCTTTTTCGTTCTTTTTTTTTTTTTTTGTTCTTTGTGTTTGGTGCCAATTGCGTTAACGGTTTTTTTGTGCATTGCTTTAATAAGGATAACGGTACGTGAATATTGAAACGCAACAACTAGAACTAGAGAAGCAACTGCATTGGAGGGGAATAATAAGAAGAAGAATCATAAATAGCAGAAGACGAATAATACGAAGAAGACTAAATTAACAAGAAAGCTCGCCAATAATGTGCGGCGCCGCGGGCAATTGCAGGTAATTTTACACACTCGCACACATATGTATGTACGTGTACACATACGTACGTAATTGTTGAAAATTGTTGCAACCAACTACATTAACAATAGCAATAACAACAACAATAACAACTACAACAATAGCGATGGCGTTAAAATAATAAAACACCGTTAAATGTGCGCCTATTTAGTCGAGCGTGGCAGCAACGAGCTGTGCCACCACCCCATGGCACCTGCCACACATTGTTGTTGCGGCTGTTGTTATTGTTGTTGCCGTTATCGTGGCAACTGCCAATTGCACACGCACTTGGCAACAATAATTCGGCCGAAAAAATGTTTCAGCCATAAACCATAAAAACAAAGACAAATATTATCCAAAAAATGCTAGCCCGATTGGAAAGTTGCTTCGGGGAGGCTCTCCATATGGCTTTTATATTAAATATACATATATTTAACAGTTTTTAATAAATCAGCTAAAGAAATCATAATCTTTTCTTAAATTAATAATTATTTATTGATTTCTCTAAAGTTGAATTTTTAAATGCTGCTTTGGGAGAGAAGTTCCTTTTAGATACTCACACTTTCGAGTATTTCTTGAAGGAAAAAAATTGCTGAAATAAAAATAAAATTTGAAAAGTTGTTCTTAACAAATTTGTCGATTGTCTGGAAAAGGCTCTGCAATGTTCAAACTATAATTTAATTTTAAGCAAATAATAAACGAAAACTGTGTATATATATACAGAGAAGTAAGATATAATCGTTTCAAACTTGAACTCTATTTTTTTTCTTCATTAAAATTTACTATGCCGGTTTTTTTTGTTACCAATTCGGTCGATTAAGTTGCCATTGGTGTCAAAAACGTCTACACTGTTCAAAACGATAACTAGAGTTAAACCAAATAAATAATAGAAACAATAAATAAGCCAGCTAGCTTTATAAAGATATACATATATACGTATGAGTTGAAAGGAAAATATAGAATACAAGTACAGCCATTCAACTAAAGACACTTTGTTGCACCAATTATTGCTTTGGCAGCTAATTACTTATATAATATAGGCAACCGATGTTGAAAAAAGACATTATTTAAAGATCATAAGGATTCCACTAAGAAAATGAAAAGTGTGTCCCGCATGCTTGCTTTCCAATCTATATCAAGTGTAAGCATACATAAGATTTAGCCTCAATGCTAAAACATAATTTAAAGCAATATCTATCTATACAATAAGTCTCTCTTGCTTTCCAATCTATATCGAATTTATATATCACAAGCTTCTATACATGATTTAAAGCAACATGATGGTCTTTATCAGTATTTAAGAACCCAGAAATGGATTATATACTCGTATATAACTAACTAGTTTCCCGGGCCCGTTAGCCGTATACATTTCCGATGTCCGAGAGATAAAGAATGCCATATATTAATGTACTTACATACAGATATACCCGTACACATGTATAACAACAAAACAAAAACCAAGACACAACGCATCTTCTTCTTGATGCTATCGCTGTGGAAATTCGTGACTTTGCTCGGTTTTTTAAAAACAAAAAACAATTCAATTATAAATTATTGATCTAGCTTTTAGTTCCATTGAAGTGGCAGTACAGTGTATTGCGTGGAATGGTAGTTAGGGAGTCTTTCATAGCTCGATTAGACGATGATTCATAATTAGATGGTATCTGAAAGCTCCGAAATTCTCATTTTAAACAGATGCTCTGAAAATCCCATGAGTACATATATAATTCTGGGGAGCAGTACGATAAACTTTTGCGAGTGATGTGGTGATGCGTAATGCAACGGTTAATGGGCTTTGAACCCTGACCTATAGCTCCAATCACTGAACTCTCTATTGCCATATCTGTGTACGAGTATGCGAAATATTTATTGATTCATATTCTGGCTTTATCTGATTTTATAACTACACAATCTTCAAGTTATCAATGCATTGACTTTGAATTAAGTATAAGCTTAGAGGTAGGGAAATGTTTGAAGGGGATACTCGTATGTTTATTTATGAGGAAGTTGCTGCGGATGCCAGTTGTTATTATTATGGTTGTTGTTGCTGTTGTTGCTTGTTGTTGCATTTGCCTTACAACACGAGCTGTTGTCATGGCTGTTGTTGTTGCTTGTAGCCAGCAACCTAAGTTGTTGTTGCTGCCGTTGATTCCACTTAATGTTGTGGCCTCCTCCATAGAAATAGAGTCACAAACTGGTTTAGCGACTTTTTGTTTGTTCTATACACACAAACGCACACAGACACACACACACACACATGATATATATACACAATTGTCGGACCTTTTAAATGTTCTAAAGACATTGTATGTATTTATAGCAATTTATACAAGTTAGTTAGTTACGAGTCAAGTTTGTTGACTGGCCTGAAACGACACTTGCCACAGGATGCTCGGCCTCAACAATTACAATACAATGAGTCACAGAAACAACAACAACAACAATAGAAACAACGACAGTTGTCAAGTGTGTATACAGAGTAATACCATAAATTGAAATCGCTGTCGATAAGATAAAAGGCACGAGCGAGCATGTTGGCCAAAATTGATAGCAAAAAAATGTACGTTCGAGCTACATATAATCAGTACTTAGTCAGCCAAATGATCCACCAATAGCAGACATCTATCACAATGTTCAACAGCAGCCTTCTTTTTCTCTCTATATAAGCGCTCCGAGTCTGATCCTGGCTCCATTACTCTTCCAACTCAACTGCTTGCGAAGCAACAAATAAGCAGCAGAGAAGTTATTGCTATTATTATTATTATCTTTTCAACACTATTTCAATGGTTTCAAAATTATTTACATTAAACATAAAAAAAAATAAATATATAAGTAGTTATTGAAATAGATAAATAGATTTCGAGGAAAGAAGCTTAAATGGTCAGATTGGTAAACAAAAAGTTTCGTCTGTAATCGACTTTTGGCTCTAGCTGATCTGGTTCGAAAGGTCTTGGAGTTCATACGGACAAACAGACCGACAGACATGCTTATATCGATACGTCTCGTATAGATTTGAATTTAGTATTTCATTCGGGTACAGGATATTAAAATAGGATCCAAATGGGATTAGAACAGTCCCAAAGCCAGATGAAGAAGAAGATTTTCAGTTTTGTCATCATTGCTTAGTTCAAAAGATCTCGAAGTTCATACAGACAGACAGTCGATTCGTTTCGTATAGATTTGGGTTTAGTCTCCCATTCGGATACAGGATATTACGTCTAAAAGGGATTAAAACAGTCCCAAAGCCATATGAAGAACAAGATTTTCAGTTTTGTCATCATTGCTTAGTTCAAATGATCTCGAAGTTCATACAGACAGACAGAGGAACAAACAGACCGACAGACATGCCTTTATCGACTCGTCTATATAGTATAGATTTTATGTTTAGTATTTGATGAGGGTACAGAATATTAAAATGGGATCCAAATGGGATTAAAACAGTCCAAAAGGCAGATGAAGAACAAGATTTTTTGTCTTGTTTTTTGGGCATCATTGCTTGGTTCAAAATATCTCGAAGTTCATACAGACAGACAGAGGAACAAACAGACCGACAGACATGTTTATATCGATTCGTATCGTATAGATTTGGATTTGGTCTCTCATTCGGATATCAAGTCTATCAAGTCTAAATGGGACTAAAACAAGATTTTCAGTTTTGGTTCTTTTCACATCATTTTTTGATTCTTCACTCTTCTCTGTCATTAGAGTTGCGTGGCAGACTGTTCTCCTACTTATTCATAGGTATACCCATAGAAATAGCATTGATTATGATTTGTTGTTTTGTTGGACCCCTCCACACCCACCACAACCACCAGCACCACCAGCACCACTAGACAAACTGCACACACTACTTTTTGTAGCGTTATGGCTCTGCCTCGTTGCTTTTGTTGGCCTCTGCAGAATTGGCGTCTTCATTGGAATCAGAATCAGTGCATGGCAGTTGGTTGGTAAAGTGTTAATGAATTGTTTTGCCGCTTTTTGTACCAAATTCAATTACAAGTGAACAGTTAACTAAACTGTAAATAGCAGATATTAATAAAAAACAAAACAGTATAGAACAAAACCAACAATCATACACACGACTACGCGTATATAATTGCATTTACAATCAAACAAAGCAACATTAAGGCAAAAAAGCATAAAGCGCAGAAAGTCAGATAATAATTTTTAACTGTCATTTAAAAAGCAAGTCTACAAACCCATAAGCCGAGCCCAACCCCCTCCCCAGCAGCTGCAGTTGTTGTACTTGAATTTAGTTGCCCAGTCACAACAAAAGGCAATTAACAGTGGCAATTATAAGCCATCGTCATCGGAGCAAGCGAAGGGCGCTATATTTCTCCATTTGCTTCCATATCTTTTTTTTTTTTTTGCGTTGCTTTGTTCTAAAAGCTGCGGCGTAAAGTTGGCACGAAGTCGTCGGGGCTTTGAAAATGTTGGAGTGGAAAGAAGCATAAAAACAACTTTAAGATATAATTGAAAATTAGTCAGCAGACATACAGACAGACAGGCAGGCAGATAGATAAATAGATAGACACACAGAAGCTTCTAGGTATATGTACAAGTATGTATGATTGTTGTTGTGAAAGCCAAATAAGAAATACATAAAGCGAATGGTATAAACAGAGATTCCCTCAGATTCATGCTGTCATCAGAAGACGTCCCAAATGACTGGGAGGCGGCACACTAAACTGTTGAATGGCCACAATTATGAGCCAAGAGCCATGGGCCTAATTGTTAAGACAAGCTGCAGTGATAATTCTAAGTAGGAAACTCATATTAAAAATGTTCGACCACACTTTAGTTCTATATTTTAAATAAGAATTGAAAAATATAGAATCTTTGAGCTTGATCTGAAGTTAAGTTAGAGAACCGGACCTCTATTGAATGTTTTAAAGAAAGAAATTGATTATTAAGTTCGCTAGAGAACCGACTTATAGTATTATATTGAATGATTTAATTCTTATAAATTGTATAGTAAGTATATAGTAAGTATAAGACGG